GAAGCAGCCCAGAGTTGTCTAAATAACCTTCTGCTTTTATAAACAAATCCTCCACTGAAAATTTCTGCTCTTTAGTCATTAAGTCAAGTTGTATTTTTGACATTCTTCTAAGACTGCTTCGTGCCGGTGTTTGAACAGATGCAGAAAACTGTATCCCCTTTAATCACAGCCAACCCTAACTATAAATTACCCAAAGTATATTAGAATTATATCCAAACCAGTAAATATAAAAAGTAATCAAATTCTTAAAAGCAAACAAAACTTTCTGCCTCTTCTTTAACTTTTTCTACTTCCATCTTTAATCCTCTTGAGGTACGTTCCGAGATGCTTAACACTTAAATCTTCAAAACCATTTTTCCTCAGAAGCTAATCTTCCTCATAATTTTTTAATTCAGATCATAAGCACGTTAAAAAGAAATAAATCTCTTACTTCTTCTCCAAATTCTCCTTTTCACCTCTTTTCCCTCCTGCCAATCCGTTCCTGCTCAATTCTCTCCTCCACAAGTAAAAATGTTATTCGAACACACCAGCTTAGGTCTTACAGAAACAATCAGCCTGAGCAGACTTCTGTCTTCAATAAGAAACCTGATCTTATTTTTGAAAAGAAGGGTTTTGTTATTGCCCGTGAACTCTTTTATTCTAGATTCTCCCTCACAGGCAAATCGTAAAAAGTATTTCACAGCTTCAGTTTCTTCCCTGTCACTTGTCAATTAACCCAGTTGCCATTTTAGCTTTTTTTTTTTTTTAAAGTAAAACATTTGCACTTTCATAGCATGTAAGTCATCTTCCAAATTGAAAGATAAACCCATGAAAACTACTCTTCCCCAGAAAACTTCCTAACATGCCAGGGAAGCCTCTCACTCTGAAAGCAGGCTGGCAGCAGCAGGGTTTTTTCTCCCCTCTGTAGATTGTTCTTCTCTTGTAAGAGCGACACGCTGCTAGAAATACCTCACACCTCTAAAATCCCAACAGATTCCTGGGGAGTTGAAAATAACTGGAAGAAAATGCATAAGTGGTATGATGTCTAATCAGAGAACAAGCAAAAACTGAAAAACTGAAAATTAAGCAGGACTGAATTTTTCAGTCTACTGTGCTGAGACCTGGTACTAAACACCACTAAAGCACTCAAATGGGATTGCAGATCTCGACCTCTAGCAAACCACCAAGACTATAATCCCCTCTGGAGCCTTTTATTTATATCAACTTTCCAGTAATACAAACATCTGGTAGTCCTCACGTAACATTTTCCAGTTGCCATCTTGTGTTAATATTTCTAAGAGCTTATCAAAAACAACTTGAGCTGAAATACAGTTTCTGCCATTATTATTCTGGAAATTAAGCTTTCAAATAATCAATTTAGAGACTACAATGCATGGCCAAAACTAGACATCAAACTACTGGATTCTTGCAACTGCAGCGTGACTTCAAAATGGTTATGAGAATTATTTTAACCTGCTGAATGTAAAGGTCATATGATTGCCAAATAAAAGCACTCTTAGAATCAGCATGCAAACCCGGGTTTTTGGAAAAGCATGAAAAGAAATCAACTGCTTGCTTCATTCCAACAGAAGGCTCACTCCAGGACTTATTTCTAACAGATAATAAATAGCAATTACAAGCGCTTGAAAAGACTCCTGTTTGCAGCCTGTCCTACCCAGGTAATGCTTCTCCAACACTTGCGATTTTGTAGGCAGGAAGAGTCCTTAATTTTCAAAGTTACTTTGTTTAGTCTTTTCTCTGACCTTATCAGACATCAACATGAGAAGGAGTAAGGAGAGGAAGAAGATGGGAATCAAATCCCAACCAACTTCCGCTTCCAAACCATCTATATTTTCCTCAAAAATCAGCAGCCATGTTTTCTATAAAACATGTCACACCAACTTCAATAAGGCGTGATGGTTTTGCTAGCATAATTTTAATAGTCTTACTCACATTAACATCAAAAAAATCACATCTTACCATAAATCACATTCCAAAAATAACACAATTATGGCGTTCGCCTACACCCATATTTGAATATCCTAACCATTCAAGACCAAGATTATCGAATTAATAAGACAAAGAGCAAAGAAAAATTTTGGTAGCTTAGATATTCTATATTTCATACGGTTTTAGTCAATAGGAAAAAAGACTGGGCCAGAGGCATTATTATATATCTATTCATACTAGTGACACTTCGGAAGCAGGGCAGCAAGGTGCATTCTTTTCACCGCTTTCGGCATTAATGTAGTAACTTGTGTTAAAACTGAAGAAAATCCCAAAGGAAGTATATTGGACACAGCGAGCTGATTGGCTGATTTTTAATTATATATTCTAAGCTGTTGTTGGCATAAGCCATTTATCGAATCTTTAAAAAACAGAGGGAAATGTAAAAGTACACGAAAATAAATTGCCAGGAGGATACCTACATTTATTTCCCTTCTTACACCAACAAGCCACCTCCATAAACCACTTCCAGCCTCAAAGAAGAGACCAGTTCTTGTTGCTTTTGTTTTCTTCCTGTTACCCCTTCTGTTCTTATAAAAACACTTAAAAAGTCTTCCTACTTTTTTCCCCATCAATAGTAAAACTCAATAAGCTACTGGGCAATATTATCTGAAGAGAAATATCAATTATCTGCTAGCCAAGAACTAACTCTAAATCACACAGTTATAAATCTTTACTGCCGACTAACACGAGGACTTCTATCACACAGTCATGTCACTGTAGTGTTACTCGCTTGAGAAATCAGAGGTCTGTAAGGCAGAACGTGACACGTGACGGCAATTTTGAAAACTTCTGGACTCAAACACCTACACCGACACACTGTTCTTCTCTCCGGGAACAAGTATGAACAAAATCTCAAGCTAACAGGAAATCCTAAGAAAATCGTCTGTCTCTCAAAGGCAATAGTGAAATACTGTTCTCTATTTCTTTTACTGCCCACAAGTGCTTCTAAGAAATAATCAAACTGATACACGTGGGTTTTAAGCATAACTTGCTGAGGTTGCACACTTCTACAAAAAAGCAGCTGAGGAAGTGAAGGCACCAACATAGTGGCGTCATTTAATATGATTTTGAAATTACAAAGACAGATCTATAAGGTCAGGATACCCAGCCTACAACAGTCTGCCTTCAATGCATCCAAGGAAGGCGCTGTATGAGGTCTTCACCATAAGGTAATGGATTCTTGGCGGGGTAGGGGGGGATATGACAACATTCTTTAACAGTCAACTAGTTAATCTGTAGGCATGATTCTAGCCACGTTAACTGAAAACTTTTCCATCAATGCAGTCAGCATCTGTTCTAGCCTCTTTATGCAGCAACACTTGGGAGGCAGCCAGGCAGCTTCTCTGCATTGCTATACAGCAGCTCCAGACGACTTTGTGTATTTGTTTCCACCTGCTCTCCGGTCTCACTGCTATAAGCATGTCTCTAAAACCAGGGCTGTCATTTGAGCTTTTTTCAGACACAGAGGCAAACCCACTCTTTTAAATAAAAGATAAAAATTAAAAAGGATTTCTTTTTAAGAGAAGGTAAGCGAGGCCTCACTAGCTTTAAAATCTAAGCTGAAGAAATAAAACTCAATAATCTTGGGAAGTCTCCCACTCGTAAACCACTGCTATTAAAGTTGCTACATGCAATAATGATCTGATTTATGATTTGTTGAACAAATTTCTGCAGTGATGAGCAAAGAACGTGGGCAGAACGGTAACTAAAGCCACACTTAAAAAAAAAAATAGACATATTCTAAAATTTAATTACTTCTTCATCTGATCAAGTCCCATAAGCAAACTTCTACTTCTTGTTTGGCTCTAAGATCAGTAAGTTTTTCTAGACCATCTTCTCTGCCCATGCAATTTTGCTTAAGTATCAGTTCTTGTCACAGCCCTAACAGAGATATTCCCATGTTATACTCATTTTGGAGATAGCTGTTTATTGGTAAATATGAGGACTTCGACTTCACGGAAAGGAGGAAAAAAACCTTAACAGCTACATATCGCTGTTTAAGTCCCACAGATCACTTTGCGAACCTCTCCAAGTACCATTCCTGCATATTCACAGTTAAAAAAGTGTAATTCTTTAAGTTCTGTTTGACATCAGAAGATAAGAGTTTCCATTTTTAGAACATCACATCAGTCTTTTCAGATTGATGCCGTATAGATGTCACTGGCATGTCTGAAGTCACACATATGAAAGTGTTCCAGCTGCACCTCTATTAACTCAAAGGGCAGCACGTTAACTCCAAAGAAAAAGTAGTGATTCAGAGTACCTTAAACTATCAGTCAGCAATTTAAGCATCCTAGTGTCCAACTGAACCCTGTAAGTTTACACATGATGCGACATGAAATATTTCTGAAGAGGTAATAAATTTAAGTGTTTAGAGTTCTAGACCTTCCAGTATATTTTCAGAAACAGCATTACTGAACTTGCGAGATTCCTAAACATTTTAAATGCTTAAAAATTAGCATACTTTCAAATGAATAGTCTGAGACTTTCTGTAGGCGAGTCTCTTAAAAGCGTGCACAAGGGCATCCTTTTTTGCTGGAAAATGATTTCTGTTATCAGAAGTTGGATCAATTTTTTAAAAGCATTAACATTACTGTATATGATTCACAGCCCAAGTATTACCTCAGACCTAATTTAAAATGCGCAACACAGACGCTGTATTTCTAGCAAAAGCCATTTTTAAAGTCCGCAGTCATATAATATAACCTATTGAATAAGACCTACAACACAGGCTAAGAAAAGCTGAACTGAGATCTCAATATGAAAATTTTAATACTATTTTCTCTAGTCAGTGCATCTAAAGTCACCAGTATCCTATTGGCTTCTACTATACCAATAGCCAAAACAGTATCTTCCACTTATGAATTTAGTGTTGGGAGTGTTTAATTCCTCCCATGGTCCTGACTTTATAAAGTCTACGGGTGTCTAAAAATCCATGGAGTTGTAAGGCCAGCTACACCTCACAGAATGCACCGGTGCAACTCCTGCCTGTAGCCAAAGAATTTACTCACAGTATAAAAATGAACTCCCAAGTCTTTTCCGGGCATTTGCTACACAGTCAGTGGTTCTGCATCTTTTTGGTCCTAAAAATGCGGAGAAAAAAAAAAAACAAACAAAAAACCCACAAATTACATTTCATGTGTGCTACATATTTTTTTGAATTCTCAGCTATGCATATCAGCAAAGAGGAAGACACTTCCAGAATCACTCAACTCCTTCCTTCCAAAACACTGCTACAGAGTCCAGTAAAGGGACACTTAACAACGTGAAACCAAGAAAAGAAGTTCTAATATATTTACAGATATAGTTTCGGAAAAACAACAGCTTCTTTGCCTCCTCAAGGGTACGAATACTTTAATCTCACGCTAGTTTCCTGTACTGTCATGTGTTTCTAGAACTTGGGACACATGCTTTATTTAAGAGGTCTCTCAAGTACAAAGTACAAGACAGAACGCAGGAGCAGCTTATCGACTGAGAATCAAGAAGCAACACTCTCAATAAAGGGTTTTGTTTGTTTTTCAAAACACGTTTTTGTTGTATTTCCTCTCTGTGCTGAGAGGAAACACCAGCAGCCAGAGGCTGGAGGAATACAGCAAGATCTTACATAATACTCCAATCGTGCAGAAAATCGAGCCAAAGCTGGGAGGAGAGAAGGAATTTTACAAAATTACAGTGGATATTTCCAAGCGTGGAACTATGAATGCAATCAGTAACACAGCAATAGCTCCTGATCGTACAAGAAACAGATCTCTTTCCCAGCTTTATGCCCAATTTTGCAGAAATAATGTCCAGGAAGAAATGAAGCAGATGATTTCAAGTTTACAGGTCCACAGTGAGCCAGGCAGTGGAATGGCAAGCCCCACGAGTAAAACGCTGAACAGAAGGGTGTGCCAAGAATAAAGCTGGTAAGTCCCTCTTATTGTAAACTGGATTGGTATCTAGAAAAATCACACAGGGCAACAAACTCAGTTCACAGTAGATACCTAACACTAGGTCCTCAGCTGCAGTTCAGACATTAACCCTAAACCTCCCCCCACGCTGGTCAAGCTGGCTCAGTGGAAACTGAGAGAAGACTGGTGAATGGAATTGTTTTTAACATTTATCAGGTCTCATCAACCTAATACTATTGCCAGTACTGGTACCTTCCCCGTGTTAAAACATCAGCAAATTTTAAGATCAATTACACAAGAAATAGGTTTTTTTTAATCACTCCACTGTGACCCGTGCAATCAGCGATGGTACTGCTCACTGAGACTGTGTGTCAAACCAAAACCCCTTCCATTTTAACTCCTTCCCTGATCTGTATCTACGTGCAAATCCTGGAGGTTTTGGGGAGGAAACACAATTAGTGTTATAATAGTGGTAACTAGACTCAAGTAAATCGGGATATCAGATTTGACAGCAGGTTCTGCAATCTTATGGTAGGTACAGTTTTGTGTTACTGTCCTCTACTGATACAGTGACAGGATGACAGCTTGCAATGTACTTCTGCTCTCATGTGGTCTTGATCTCTATACTCATCCATGACAAAGTACCATTAGGAAAAAAAATCTGTTTTTTCTTCAGGTCACAACGAAACAAGTGACACAATGAAACTAAATCATTCTGGGCATCTGGTTAGAAAATATCACTGAAAAAGAAGCAAGCCAGTTACATGTTTTACTTAACTAATTTAGGGGTTTTTTTTTAATAACCGAAGAGTTCTATTTTATAAAGCATAAATAATAGTGAAATTCTTCAGACTTTCATAGGGCTTCACACCAAGCCACCCCAGACGTAACCATTTAGAACTCTAAAGGCAAAGAAAAAAAAAAAGGGGTATCACAAAAAAGGATTCCTTTTCATTATGTCACGATGCTGCTCTACAGTCACAAACGTAAACACATCTAATAATGCCGAGTTACAGAAAAATGACAACAAATAACATTACATTCCATATTTTTCTCCCCCCAAAAAACTCCTGTCAGAAAAAGACAATTCCATTTCACAGGCAGCTTTGCAAATACTATGAGAATAAGATTTTACCTTTATAATACCATCTATCACTAATCAAGGTAGTGCTTGCTACAAGCACTAACACTCTGCTATCAAATCGTATTAGCGACACATTTAACTGCGAAAGGGAATTCTTTTGCCTTTCCATACTGCATGATGATGCACCATTTCTTTTAAACACCACTACAGGCCTGAAACACAGCTAAGAAATATCAGTACTGATCCCAGACACCCTGGGGTCTAATTCGTAGGAAGACCAAGTTCCCTCCTGATTTAGAAATGTGCCCACAGTCCTCAGTGGCAAAGCTACGACCTGTCATCCCTTACTTGGTTATGCTATTAGTCATCTCAGTTTTTCCACTCTAGCCCTTATTTCCTTTCTCCCACTCCTGTTTCCTTACTCAGTTCCTGGCACCCCACTGAACCTCTACGCCTGCCTGGGGATCTCCAGGAATCCCCTAGCCAGGCCTCCCCCCAACTTTTCCCAGCCGCCCCCGCCCCCCCCCCACCTTTCCCCAGCCGCCCCTCTCCCCCCCCCTCAGGCCCTGCTCCCTCGCTCGCCCCAGACGAGCTACCGAGCCCTCTCTCCTCTCAACTCCTGCCCCCTTCCCCACAGCTCTTACCTCCCGGCCCTACGAGTGACTCCTACCGCCGGAGGAAGCCCTGCTCCGAGGCAGGCTGGGAAGCCCGAGAAGCCCTGTCCCACGCAGGTGCGGTGGGTGGGGATCGCGCCCCCGGACTCTGCCCCCCACTCCGCAGCCAGCCCCCCTAGGAGAACACCAGCAGCTGGAGCTCACTATTTGGCAGCATGTCTTCCTCCTCCGGTTCCCCCCAAGCAGATGCAGAGGCTCATTATTCCGCAAGTCCCCGCAGCAGCCTTCTGCGCAGGCGCCGAGTTGACGAGCAAGCAGGATATGGCTGTTCCCAGCGCTCCCCTCCCGGCCGCGCATGCGCGCTGCACGAACGCCGCC